CCAGCTTATTTCCCTTCTTGCTGTGCGTCAACTGCTATTCCCTTCAACTTATCTACCCTGTTTTCTGAGAAAATGGGGAATACCTGTGCATGCTTGACTGGATTTGTTGCCTCTAAGGTTCTGCAGAAAATACTTTCCTCCATCCATGCCCCCCTTGTGTCAACATTTCAGCCTTTCCCTGTTCAGTCCTCTTACATCATCTTTTGTTTGGGGTCTCTGCTGAATTTCAGGGAGGTCTGTAACTATCAGCATCCTTCTCTTGTCTGGAGATGGATGCTAGCAGCCCCGTCCTCAGTAGCTGGTAGGATGCACTGTCATTTCAGCATGTGAGGCCCTCAGGTAAGCTGCTCTTCCTTCTCCGGGGCTTTTGTGGGCCTCTAAGTGAGCTGTCCTCCCTCCTCACAGGGAGGCACCTCTGCAACATGAGTGTCTGCTGGCTCCACGCGTTGCTTTCATCTCTGTTTTGTGTGCATCACGCAGTGAGAAGGAGGAGAGAGAAAGAGAGCAAAGCCTTCGCAAAACCTGGGAGTGGCGGAGGCGAAGGGGGCTGGGACTGACAGCTCTCAAGGAGCAGACCGAGTGGAGGCATGTGGAGTGGGGCTCTCATGGGGATGGTCATGCTGAGCAGGTTTCCAGCAGGCTCAGGTGCCATCTCAGCTTCGTGAGGGGCTGAAGGGGAGCTGTAGTGTTGAGTGTGGTCCCACGTGCAGCTGGACCATGAGGCCCACCTTGCAAGGCAGGGAGGGCAGTGCAGGAGTACTGTGGTAAATAACAGGGCTGGATGCAGTGTTGGAGCCGTGCAGCTTGTGAGCTACTGGGTACCAGACTTTGGAGAGAAACCAAGGAATCTGGCTACCGCTGGACTAGCAGAGATGGAGAACAATTTGTCTTCAAACACACAAGCTCTTTTGGCTTAGGGGGCACATGATTGGTAGGTCAGTGAGACCAGGCAGGGCTCATCTGGGTCTGAAACAGGCTTTACCCTTGGCAAGGCTGTTGACTGAAGCATTTCAGTTTCCTGCAGTGGGATGCTGGTCAGGGTAGGTACAGGCTGACATGGCCAGTTAAGCTACAGTAGCAAAGCCTAGCTAGAGAAAGTTTGCAGGTATCTTTGGAAAGCTTGCTTTTCCTGGGGGTGGAAAACAGAGGACCATGTGGAGGCATGTAACTTCTGGTCATGTCCACTCTTCAGAAGTCCCTTTCCCTTGTCACAGCCTTTGTTTTTTAAAAACTGAAATCTAAGTCCACACTGAACAATTTCCAAAGGTCTTTGCAGTGTAACCTGCGTGGAGCTTCTGATGAGGAGTGATATTTCCCTCCACGCTTGCCTCTCCTCCCGTCACGGTTCTCAGACCAGGACACCTCCCCTAGTAGCCACCAGACAAAGCAGGAGGTTGCACAGGGTAGCTTGGCATATGCATGCTTCCTCCAGAGTGGGTCCTGCCTTTTCTCCCTGGTGCAGTAGAGGTACTTGGCAGGATGAGCTGGGAGCTCTCTGCAAAGCTCTCCCATCCTTGCCAGACTCTGGCCCTGCCCGAGCATTTTTTGGTCCTCCAGAAAGACCCACTCGAATCTGTAATAGTAAATTTGGAAGCCTTTTTGTTGCTATTGGAGCTGCACTGCTGCAGTGTGGAGAGGGTCTAGGCTGCTAGTTTAGAAGCAAGTGGAATGCCATATTTGCCTGCACTGCCTGCTTTCTCCTTCAACAGCAGCAGTGAAGGTACAAATGCACAGAGAAAGCCTCCTTGCTTGTCCCTAGCACAGGTGGCAGGGAAATTCAGCTGTGTTGTCCCACTAAAGTGCTTCATTGGTGAGCTAGAAAGAAGAGCTGGAGGGGTGCATTGGCTCCAGGTATGTTTGGTTTTGAAGCTCTTCATTGAGCCTGGTAAATGGGCCAGCTTTCTATCTGCTGGTGATGCTCAGAAACCCAGCTTGTGGTATAACTGTGGCATCAGTAGGCTTGTGAATGTCACTGGTTACTGGGAGGTTTGGGAAAGCCTCGTATTAGCCCAATGACAGATAAAATCCTGTAACAAGGGGTTGTTGCTCAAGACTTGGAGGAAAATCAGGCTCATTACTCCTGATTCCTGAACTCATGAACCACTGCATGCATTGGCTCCATCTGTCCATTCTGCTTCTGCAGAACGATGTCACCCTTGGTCATTATTTTATATACCTCTGAAAGGAAGGCTATGATGAAGATCTCATCAGCTCTGGAGCCTGGCCAGGTGGCGATGCCAGGGTGTCACACAGGTACTTCATAATTGCCTGACCAGGCTATGGGTTATAAAGGGGAAGGCAAGCTCACTGCTTTCTGTCCTGAGTACCAGTCCCTCTCATTTGCTGTAGTGAGCCACATCAGTGCTTCCTCCAGCCCCTTGGTCTGTGCCTTGCCATCTCCCAGAGGCCTGGAGGCAGAGCACCCATCTTCCTCATAGCTCAGTGCTGTGCCTATCAGTATGTCAGTGGCACCTATCCTCCCAGGGAGGACTGACCTCTGTGGGGTGGACACTTGTCCTGCTCTTTTTCTTCTGTCCAGAGATCCTGGCCACTGTTCAACAACGTAGGTAGGGAGAGCAAGAGGACAAGAAGTGGAGCACAGGAATCAGGAGAGAGAGGGGCTGAGGGAAACCTTGGGCAGTAGATGAACCATGATTATCAAGTGCTCTAGGCTTCCATGATGCTGCCCAAAGAAATCTATTGTGCCAAGAAGCCCAGGAAGACTGGAGAACAGAGCTCAGCCCAGGGCTGGGCTGGCTGTTCTTCCTGAGAAACATCCCTGCACCTGAAGAACATAATCAGCTTGATGGCTAGGTTGTAGGCTTTTCTTTCTGAACCCTTCTGAGTTTGTTCCATTCAATCCTGGAAATATCGAAGATGTGTTTAGAAGGAGTTTCTCTTGGGGGCAAATGACTGTTCACTTTTTAAGTAGCTTGCCCTTTTTGTCTTTTGGAGATCAGTGCCACCTCTTGTCTGCTGCTGCTTGAAGGTTGGTGGGAGCCTGCAATGACAGTAGGGTGGCCTGGTTAGGGTTGAGGTGTTGTAGGGCTCTGTCAAGGACTAGAAAATACAGGTCAGTGAAGCAGCTTGCCAAGATGTGCGGGTGGCATTCTCAAAGGGGGAGAATGGAAATGATGCTTCTGTAGCAGAGTTTCCCACAGGCAAGGGAAGAGTCTGTTACCAAGGAAGGTAAGAGGCTCCAGGAACTCCAGCGCTCTGCTTCTCTGTCCTCTCACTGCAATGCAGGTCCAGACACCCTGGGAGGGGTACTGGGGCGAACATTATCCTTTGCAAGGTCTTGACCAAAATGAAAATATTTGTGCCCCAAGAGATGGACCGTGAGGCTTCTGAGACAGTTTAGCAGTCCTTTAAAAAGCGAAGCAAAACAGTTTCTTGGCCAGAAAGCTATCACTGTGCTTTTGTTCTTTTCAGTATAACACAGAAAGTGACAGATACAGCTTTTGTATCCAGTCTACACCACAGATTTACTCTGTGACCTTTCAGATATGCATGTGGGTCTAGATTTCTGAATCATAGTTAGACACCCAAAAGCTGGCATACACATAATGTAGAATTATTTAAGCTTGTTTTCAGAGGTGTTAATCAAACCTGGCTTTGAGTGAAGTCAGTGGGAGAAGGCAGGCAGGCAGCATGCCTCTGTGCTCAGCCCAGATGTTAGTGCATGAGCAAGGTCCTTACCAGCCCCTTGCACAGAGCTGGAATTTGCAGAGCAGAAACACCCATCATACAAATCTGTGTGGTCAGGAGGATTCCTGTGGCACTTTAGGTATCTACTTAGGAAGAGACAATGTGTCTCTGGTCCCATCTGTTCTAGATCATTTGCATGCATTTGCAAAAATGCTTTTTCTTTAAGGACTTGTGAAATATCACTGACTTCTGTAAGGCCACTGTCAGCAAGATTTGTGCCCACTTCCTAATCAACATCCTGTTATCTTAATGCTAGCCATTTTATCCCCAAAAATCTTGGCTCCTAGCCTATTTAAAACCTATTGTGAGAATGTTTTCTGTTATTGGTGTGTACAAGGCCCCTTCCTGTACTAGTCATTTACCTGAGAAGAAGTAATTGCCCTTCTAGTATGGTGCCACAATACTGTGTCTCTGAACAAGCTGATCTGGGGCTTCTGGATGTCCCCGGGATATGCTGTTACTGTCGAGCAACTAGTATGATTTCTGCAGAGCTACACCTGTGGGCCACCAAACAATTCTCCCTGCCCTCTATCGAATTCTTGTCTTAGCAAGAGTTTTAAGTGTCAACATTCTACTGTTGAACAGGAGAGGTGCAGAACATATACATGGCATTGTGTTAGCTGGAGATAGTTAGGGAGCTGCCCCTTCACCAGTGGATCATGCTCCACTGGTGACAGATTTCCTCCACATATGTCCATTCCTGAGAATTGCAATGAACTTAGCTCATATAATAAGGCAAATGCTAGTAGTTTGTCACGGCTGGCCTGGGTTGACTTTGAAACCTTGGCCTCGAGGTAAGATTCTCCATGTGCCCTTAGGACTCTCCTGAGTTTCTGCTCAAAATAAAATTGGCTTTTACCAGCTGTGTGGTAACAAGCGGTGGCTGAGCATGACTGCATTGTGTCCAGACAGCTTTACGTGACTTAATTGGGAGATCAATCCTTGAAGTCTTTGGTACAGTGTAGCCCACTGTTGTTGACATCCTTTAGTGCTATTGTAGTCCTAACTACTACTAGTTTTGCAGCCAAACTCTAAGCAGGCTGAGACAACATGAGTGGGATGGAGGTTTTTTTGACAGGAGTCATGTAATGCCATTTTGTCCCTACAAAGCTCAGGCTTGTTTCCATTTTCCCAGAACAAAGCACAGTCCCCGCAGCTGGTGGAGGTGTGGATGCAAACGTTTAGGTGCCAAGGAATGTGGAGACCCACCAAGGTCTTGTCAGCAGCAGTAGTGAAGGGACTGAGTTACGTCCCTACCCTGAAGCCAGGCTGACATTTGCATGTTTCTCTCCCAGGACTACACCATCACCATGTACTTCCAGCAAAGCTGGCGGGACAAACGCCTGGCATATAACGACCTTCCTCTCAACCTGACCCTAGACAACCGGGTGGCTGATCAGTTGTGGCTGCCTGATACCTATTTCCTGAATGACAAGAAGTCCTTTCTGCACGGGGTGACAGTGAAGAATCGCATGATTCGGCTCCATCCTGATGGGACTGTCCTGTATGGCCTGAGGTAAGTCTAAGGGGAATCTTTGTTGGTTGTGGTAGAGAATGACATCTCCTCTAAACTTCCCCCATTTCCAAAGATATTCTGGTAAGGCTAGAACCCAAAAGCTACTCAAGGGTTGTACAGTTTTAAGTATCTATTCTTTCAAGCTGGAAGTGGTTGTTTTCTTCGGGCCTCCAAAGTTTCCCATGCTGCTATAGATAAATGTTGGAGATGGGAATAGTCTGCTCTGAGTGTTTCAGGTCACTGTCATTCATGTTGCATAACACTTCAATTTGAAACACTCATTTTCAGTTGCTTATAATTTTCTGCAGGTTTGGCCTATGAAGATGAGACTTTGTTACTCTTGTATCTAGGGCTGAATTTCTGTAGCATTTGAGTCAAATCATTTTAGTCATTTTTGAGTATGAGATAGGAGACATGTTTTTGTACAGTTAAAAAAATGACTCTTTACCAGAGCAATTCTGAAGATTGAGGCTTGAAAGTCAACATCTAGTAGGGAAATGGTCCTCAGTGAGGAGGCTTTTAGAGGTGTCTGGAATAAATTAACATAGGCAAGTCCACAGCCTTTGAAAGTGCTGTGCTTGTGTGCAGTGGAGGTGGTAAAGGTTGGCCTTACTGTATAAGCTGGATATGTGGAGATGCCAGGGTAGATAAGAAAGTTAAATGGAGGGAGCAGAGGGCTAAAATGGGCTAAATGCAGCTAAAATGCAGCTAGAGGTACGAGTGCAAGTTTAGGATCCTGTAGCTGATATCTAGGCAATGATTTTCCCAACCCTGTATTTGTCTGCTTTGAGCTTTTCTCCTAGGTTATTTTTTTTCCTTTTCAACTACCAAAATTCGCAGCTGGCTTTTTAGACCTGCCTCCACATTCACAAATGATTGCGATAGCAGCTCTGGGCTTACGTCCCAGTGCAGCGAAGGGGGAGGAAAGACCTTTTTCCTTCAAAGAGGGTACACCCACCCTTCCCATTTACAGTATCAGCTCCTCTGCTTCTTCGTGTTTTGTGGCAAAGTCTGACTTGTTATGATTTTTTTCCTCCTCTTTAAGTAGCAGGGCTGTTTTGGGGAGGGTAGGGCTGGGTGTAGGCATAGCAAAGTAAGAGGCTGTCCAGGGCATTATCCTGCCAGGGCAGCAAGGTGGCTGCGCCTTGTGATTTCCTTATGGCAGGGACCTGGTAAGCCAAAAGAGCAGCAGTCACTGCTGGTGCTGAGGGACAGGCTGCAGTACGAGGGGTGATGTATGTACTATTTTTTCCTTCCAATTAGCGGATGACTCTTGCTCCAGGCCCAGAGACAGCAAAAGGTGCAACAAGCCTAACTTTGTGATTCTGCCCTGGTTCTGCCTTTCCCTTCCCAGGACAGGTACATCCATCTCTCTGCCTTGGGCTGGTGATGTTGTTAGGTTGATACTGCCAGGGAGCCCTGAGCCAGCTTTACTGACCCACTAGAAAACCTGTAGCCTTCCCACATGTTGACTACCCCAAATTTCCTCATTGTATTAAACCGAGAGTGAAGGCTAGGCAAGAAGATGCTTTGACTTGGGGTAGGTAGCAGCATAAATTCACCAGCCTGTTGGGAAGTAGGGGGCAAAGAGTGCTGTTAAGGTCAGGTTGCCCTTTGCTGCTGAGCCAGCCCACCTGAGCATAGAGCTGCCTCCCCCAGGCTGGTGGGAAATCTTTGCACATACCTGCACAGCAAAAGAAGAAATGCTAGATATTTTTATCAGCTGCCATTTAGTCAGCTCAAATAATGAGCAATGTGAACCCTGCAGCACAGGTGGTGGGCAGTGGAAGTCCTTGGAGGCTTTGCACTTGAGTTGACTCGGGGTTGAGACACTGTGCAAGCACCTCCTGGACTGCCTTCCGCTCCCATGGGGCGCAGCAGTGCGGGGAAGGGAGTTTAGTTTCTTTGCACAACCTGTGTAGATGGGTGAGATGAGGAAAATTGCGTCCAGGCTAAAAGAAAGAAAATGACAGCTGTTTGCCCCTGTTATTTCCAGGGCCATAGTAAGAGCTGCCTGTGTTGTTTTAACTTTTGGCTGGTTTTCCTGGAAGCTGCTCTCCTGCCCCTGGAGAAAACAGCAATCGCAAAAACGAAGCACTGAGCAACTGCAGCTCCTGTTCCCAAACTGTACCTCAGGTCAGGTTGGATGGCTTTTCCTATCCTGAAAGCACTGGGGTTTTGGGGGATGAGGCAGGTGCCCTGAATGCTTGAAATCCCTCTAGATTTATTCATAGTGGTATGGACAATGATTTCTTTAGGGCTGCTTTCTGTACTGACTGCTGCAGCTGTGATTTAGCTGACAACAGAGGTACCAGGTCCAGTTTTGCAGGTGAAAACAGCTGTGACCCTATTCAAAAATACATAGCCACGTGCATGGCAGGTGTAAGCAAGTAAGAAAATAGTCATTGAATAGTCACCTGTGTTCCCTTTATCTTTGTAAAAATGCACCCATGCTTGTCCTGCAAACAAGAAGAAAAGTGCAGGTCCTCCCTGTGTTTTGAAGCCTGTTCTTGTCTTTTCCTGACTTTTTTGGAATGATTCATAAAACGGAGTTGCTCTGATGGAAGAAGGCCAAAGGAGGCAATTTCTGGTTCTTTTCCTTCGTTTGCCTGTTTGTTTTTCCCCAAGCAAGATACTACAGCTCTGTTCCTTCCCCTGCTACCTTCTCACCAGTCACTTCCCCTTCCTTTGAGCTGATCCTGTAGCAAAGTGACTCAATCATGCTATTTGTGGCACAACAGTCATTTTTCTTTCCAGCAGTCTCTGATGTCAGAGACCGGGGAGGATGACACCCTGGCAGGCCCCTGGCTTCAGCAAGTGTTCAAGCGGCTGACAGGATCAGGCTCAAGTGCTGGATCAGACTGCGATGTCCAAGTTAGCTCATGTGGAAGTCAATGGGTGCTTTGTTTCTGACTTCAGTGAGAACAAGATCAGGCTTCAGATAACTTGTGTGTCAGAAAAGCATATATTTGTTTTTGGTAGAACTAGCAAATTAATGGATGAAGGGAGTACAGCAGAGGTAATGTAGCTACATCTTAGGAAAGTGTTCAGTACAAAAGCTTACTCCAAAATGAATTCCCACTGGGCTTGAATTAAAAGCTGGTTGCCAGGTCTCCAACAAAAGGAATGCATAAGCAGCAGCGGGCTGTGCCGAGGCAGCGATGCTGGGCTGCTGTGGGGCTGAAGTCAGGACTGGTGTTCCCTACCCCCTTCCTCAATGAGTTAGCAGACGGCATAAATCCCAGAAGGCCAAACAAGGGCCTGGAGCCCAGATCAAGCCCAGAGGGTACTCTTAACTCTGGAAACACAAAGTGGGATGGGAGGATGCAAACCAGCAGAGCTAACAGGTTTTTAGGAGGTGTAACCTGGCATGATGGTGCCTGAACTCACCTGGCTCCCAAACACCTTGCAGGAATTAGAAGTGCCTGTGTAGCATAGGAGAGCTGGTCACCTGTGGCACGCAGCAGCAAAGTGCTAAAATGATGTGGAAAGTCTGCGATATGAAGGGAGGTTTAAAGGAGCTACCCACAGAGACAAAGCAATCAGCTATTGGGTGGTGGAGGGAGGCAGATAAAATAGCGTGGAAGAGCTGGATAGCACCAGCTGAATTCAATATATTTTTCCTCCTAATGGCTTTTTGTCAGAAATTGTATCGGTTTCATAAAATTTTAAACAAAAAATTAGGGAGAATTTTTTCATTTAAGAAAAAGCATTTCAGAGAATCTTGATGTTTCACTCCTAATTTTATGTAGAGAATTTTTCACTTATGTTAATATTTCCCTCACTATTTCAAGCTGCTTTACTTCCACTGCTGATGTCTGAGTAACATAGAGAATCATCAAAGGCTTTCTCTGGACCTCCAGAGACTGTCTGGTCCACCCCTGCCACAATATTCAATATGCTTTACATTATCACATGCGCAAGCTATATGTTACAGTCTGAGATTTTTATTTCCTTTTTTAGACCATGTAGCATCCATTTGGTAGGGAAACAAGTTGACACTTGTCGAATGCTGATGTCATCAGTATTTTGCTATCTGTTTTCAGGGACCTAAAAGTAGAAACAACTGTAACAATGTTAAAATTCTCATATGGTAATTTGAAATCATACTTGAAACCAGATTTAAAACATCCTTCAGGGAAATCTTGAAGCTTTTTGATTTCATTCTAGTTAGGGACAAAACCAGATTCCAGCAAAACAGGTTCTTTGAGGAGCCCAGGCTACATCCCTGAGCTCGCAGGGGGAGCGGGTGGGCTGATTGCTGGGAAGCAGGCGTGAAGCAGGGTGGACAGCAACCAAGATGCAATGCCTGGCTGGCGAGGAGCCCAGGCAATGTAGACTGAGCAACTGAAAAACTGCAGAGGAATTTGATGACGGAGACTAAACCCTGTGCAGAGAGAATGAGGGATCTCCTCCTGCGAAGGTGGTAGTGGTGGTGGGGAGCATGTGCATGTGTGTTGTGGGTTTTTTTATTCCTGTCCATGATAGGCACTGTGATGAGGTGTGTTTTAGAGATGAGGCAGTTTGGATGCATGCAAAGGTGCCAAGGCATAGCAGGGCTCTGAGTGCTCTCCTGGGGAAGCAGACCCTTGCTATGCTCATCAGTGTAAATACCTGTTCAGTGCTTAAAGCAAGGGGGAGAGAATTGTCCTACTTCAGACAACTCAAAATTTGCAGTTTTAAACTGAGAGAAGCTGCGCATATCTGCTCCGGCAGCACTTAATTTCTACTTTTCACAGGGTAAACTCCCATCACTCAGCTGCTGCCTGCAAGGTAGCAGCTCCTGGGGGATGTCAGCCCTTGCATTGCAGCAAGCCACTGCTGACCCACTTGTGGACCAGGCCTTGTTCCTGGGCAAGGCAGCAGCTAAAGCACCATTTCTTGGTCGCCTTACCTAGGGAAGAAATGCAGGTTAACAGATGTATGTCAAGCATCCCACCCGCTTGCTCATCCAACACCAGGTACGCTGTCAGAGACCCTCATGTCACCCTGGTGTGTAG